AATGGAAATATGGATGAAAAGAAACATAATTTATCTCAGTATGATCTAGTTCCTTAGTTATGTTTACTATATTCTGGTTAATTCTAGAAATGAAGTATTTATACATGTCCTCTGTATTCTGTGTTATGAGATAATCTGCTACACAGATTATCTCATAACATAATTGGTGATGTTCAAGGAATTTCTTGTACAAGGTCAATTAGAATTAAAATTTCAATTTAGACTTCAAGCAGACTGTGTTATATTGAATTAGCAAGAAAAAAGTGACTATTTACTCTATGTTAAAATAATAAGTGTAAGGCAGTACAGCAGTCAATTTTCCATATACCAATGTGACAAGTGTACGCTTCTCAACTCTAATGGAAATATGGATGAAAAGAAACATAATTTATCTCAGTATGATCTAGTTCCTTAGTTATGTTTACTATATTCTGGTTAATTCTAGAAATGAAGTATTTATACATGTCCTCTGTATTCTGTGTTATGAGATAATCTGCTACACAGATTATCTCATAACATAATTGGTGATGTTCAAGGAATTTCTTGTACAAGGTCAATTAGAATTAAAATTTCAATTTAGACTTCAAGCAGACTGTGTTATATTGAATTAGCAAGAAAAAAGTGACTATTTACTCTATGTTAAAATAATAAGTGTAAGGCAGTACAGCAGTCAATTTTCCATATACCAATGTGACAAGTGTACGCTTCTCAACTCTAATGGAAATATGGATGAAAAGAAACATAATTTATCTCAGTATGATCNAATACTGTTGGCTGTTTGTGTATTGATATTTTAAGTTTAGTTTCTAAGATGAAGAATTATATACATTTATATATATTAACTGCATCAAACTTTTAAACATTAAGCGCACACAACTTTCATATATTAAGTGCATTAAACATGCCTCAGGAATTTGTAATGCTGCTGGAATGCCCACTAGGGGGCGTCCCGGGCTACTAGTTATTGAATAATCTCTTGATATACAACATTTTGTGTTTTATTATCAAGGGCACAAATGAACAGAGATTTGCAGCTAATACCATTTGAGTATGCAACATAGAGTTGGCCATGTGAAAAGCAACTACATACATGTATGGGTTGTATTCATGCATCATTCTCTGCAAATTATTTACTAAAAGTTGGACTTTAAATTTGGAAGTTGAGCCTTTGTTTGACTGAACTGGGATTGATAGTCTGCAACAAAAAAATTTGAAGATAATTGGCATCTTCATCTTGTGCAGAAAGTAAAGAACCTATTAAATGATATATCTGTCCTTGAATAAAATTTCATGCCTACATTCAAAATTCAAGTATTTCAGTGGTACCAAAACTTGTCATTTGGAAGTCACTATTGTAAGCCCTAATGTTCTTTAAGAAATGTTTAGTATCAGGGTGAATCTCATTTAATAGTAATAGAAGAGGTTCAGGGGAGCAAGAACAATATCCAGTTTAACTTTGCCAGAAGAGCAGCAGCACATCCTGTGATTGATTCTTCTACTTCAGAACACTGCAGTTCCCACATACAATATTAGCTGATGATGAATAGGCTAAAAGAGGTTCAAATGAAGGTACTTCGGAGAATTTTGCACCAAGCAATCTAATTACTCCTTGTACGCTCAGAAGCACTCTCAGAGCGACTTGCCATTTTCTCTGAGAACTAAGCCTAGCCTGTCTCAAGGATGAGTTCTCTGAATATCTAGACAGTCTTACCTATTACTTTTCTTTGAAGATCAGCCAAAGTTTTGTCATTTCCAAGCAGGCATAATCTTTGCTCATACAAATAAATAAAACTCGCGTAAATACAGTTAGGCCTAATGAATCACAAACACAATACATAACAGTCTCCATATGTACAGTACAGGTAATGCAATTTAATATGATGACATCACTTCTTTTAATGCCTCAAAGATTTTGCTAATTAACTAATTAATTTTTAATGTCAGTTCTTCAAATATAATAGTAAACTTCAATAATATGCCTTTCTTATAGATAATCTCTTGACAAGAAGTACTGATTCATTGTTGCCATCTAATGAAGAGAGAGAGAAATAGACAGACAGAAATCCATTACAGTTTAATTAATTTAATTAGTGTAGATTTTGACATATGTATCTATAAACCTTCTCCTGAACCAATAGATTAAAAATAAGAAGTTTGGTTCAAATATGTTAAGGTATTTTCCAGTGATACGGCAACAAATATTTTGACCACTACAGTTTTATTTATATAGAAAATAACTGAACCGTTATTTTTTTCTTAATCATAAATAAGTATATTTTTGTTCCAATTTTAACAAGTTGCCACTTATTTTACATCTCTCTAAAAATAATATGAAGTTAATGAGAGTACAGTTTGAACATGCTTAGCAGAGAATGAGCTGAGCGTGTCCAAACTATATTTCACTGGTGACATGGCCCAGAACCTATAAGTTATATAGAAAACTAGCTTTAAAGATTGTAGGGTCAAATTGTAAGTTGGATTTAACTCGTTTCAATTTAACTTTGTACTTTAAATTTCCATCTTTGAAGAATTCTAATCGAATGTTCTATTTTTGGAACAGTTTCTAAAAACAGTTTTAAGAAACCCGACAATGGCCTATGGGAGTAGGCTAAAAATGTTAGTAATTAAAAAATTTCTCTCAACAAATGCATAGGTATGGTCGTAAATTTGTAAGTTAATGAGAATTACAAAAATAATTTGATTAGTTTTACTGACACACTAAACAAAATGATGCTAAACAAGGTCTGTTTAATATTGCAACCCAATATTAAATTGACACAATTGTGTCAGATTAACTGCTTTTGTAAAGATAATTGCAATTTTTTTCAGAATATACTGGAATACACTTGATGAATAAACTACTTCATAATAACTAATCAGTAACTGTTTATTGATTGTAAAGATTCTAATTAAGGTAATCTTTATAAAATGCTAAACTAAATATTCAAATTCCTTGTTACAAAAAATACAAAATACATAGATTTCTCTGAATGATTTTTACAATATTTTCAAATTGAAACTCAATTAATCTATAAATTCCCACTGTTGTTTGTCTATCCTTAATCTCAAAGGGTGTTAGATAGATGAATATTGAGACCAGATATGGAAAGGTTAGGGACAGGAGGCCCCAATTAACAATATTGTTATTTATACAGCTAATTGGGATTTAATTGAAATCAAATTCAATTAAAAAATTTTTCTCAGAATGGAGTTACATGAATGACCAGTACAACTCTGTTATCATCAGAAAAAGTATGATGTACAAGGGCAAGACACTACTAATTTGAGATGGAGAGCATATATTTTAAATTAAATTAATTAAAAATATGATTAAGAATTGCAGCCCGACATTGTGACCAGAGCTGTGGAGTCGGAATCGGGAGGAATTTTGTTTAAATAAAAAAAACTAAATTAAATTTAAAATGCCAGAGTCTGAGTCGACACATTTTTTCCAACTCTGACTCTGGCATTTTAAATTTAATTTAGTTTTTTTTATTTAAATGAAAGAGAATTTATTTTATATTTATTAATTTTTTTAAATGTTTTTATATCTTGTTATAATTCATTTATTTTAAATATAAAATGCAGCAATTTAATTTATTAAATATGTAGTTTTCTTTGTAGTATTTGTGTTTAGTAGTTAAATTATTTTGACCCACTTGAATTTGAGTATTTTTGAAACATTCCTTTATTATCTCTGCTCTAAATAAGTACTCTATTTTTCTGAATGAGCCAGACTAATTGATCAGAGTATATATTTTTCTTTTTCGAACAAGGGGCTGAAGTAGCCAGATCGCATACTTTTTTAGTTGGACTAACTTTTCTGGAAGGGTGAAATTGAAGTGGAAATGCTGTAGAATAAAGATATGTAAATGTAGAATTTTATCATTCCCCTATCTCTTATTAAATATTTGTTAAAATCTTAATATTTATTTGTATAAAAATAATTAATGTAAGTTAAACATTAAAAATACTAACTATAAAATATTTGGGTAAACTCCCCAGGCTCCTTTCAGAGTTCAGAGTAGGGTACCTCTGCCCCCATAAAATGACTTGGTATTTAATTTTGCCGGAGTCTGAGTTGACCTACTAAAATTATCAGGAGTTGGAGTCAAGTGATTTTTACTGACTCCACAGTCCTGATTGTGACGATGTCACAATAACTTTTGCTCATTACTAATCTATATTTATTCAACCTAAATTGAGCCATTACAACCTTAAATAGTAATTTAAATTAGACAGTAAGTATCTTTGCAAATACAAGTAAAACACAGACAACCAAATAAGAATTTTCTCTTTGATGTGGGTTCCTGTACATGGTGAAGGGATGAGATGGTTTAGTATTAGTGTGTTGTTCCTCAACTACTAGAATCCTGTTTCCAATGTGAAATGTGTAGTTGTATCAAATAGACATGAGGATGAAAATACAATACAATTAAGACATTAATTGAATTGTTTTAATTACATACTAAGAAATGATAACACAATGCACAAGAGAAAAAAAGGATTTGGATGCCAATCCTAGGGTGTTTGTCCAGCTCTGTCCAAGAAAACGAAAGAAAATCTGACAAGTGGACTCTCACAATAAAATAAAAATATTCCCACATCTTACAAATTTTGTTAAATGTGTGCAACTGTATATTACAAAAATTTTCTTACAACTAATTTATAACTATAGAGATGAAATGGAAATTTAAAATACACAAAGGAAAGGGGAAAAGAGGAGTACCAGTACTGGGTTAATTCATTTTTTACGGAGATGATTACTTTTGATGATTCTCAGTGAAATTTTCTTGTTTGCCCTTTTGGGGAAGTTAACACGTTCACCGCGTTGTGAGGCACATGTGACTCATATGGACATGTCTAGTTAGGGCTACAGACATAATTGCTTGTTTTTCCATAGGGCGGTGCATATTTTTTGATAACATAATTCCACAAACATCATACTTGATATATCAATATTATTTTATTAGGTGCAATAAAATATATTAATTTAATAGTACAAGTCATGGGTGACTCATAACGTCCAGCAGCTGCCTAAACATTTATCTACTGACGCCATGAACATGTTAATGTATACCTTTATTGGAATCAAAGAAGACTGTCTTCATCAACGATTTACTGAAGCCTCGGGATTTTTGTTGCACAAAGCCTTCAAGAAATTAAGTCCCATGCTATAGTCAGAACCAACCTCTCCCCTCCACTGTCTCCTCCAGTCTGAATCTTCTTTTTGGTCCGAAAACTGCTATCTCTCCTCTTTAGGCCCTTAGGCATTTTTGTGACAGTTCAGAACATCAATCATCAACCAAATGAAGTAGAAATGAGGACAAGAGAAGATTCCAGAAATGGGAAAAGACAAGAATCAAAGACAGAAGCTACAAACTAGAATATTCTAACTTAAAGTTATGGCATATAGCCACACCAACACACTGCTTTGACCCTTGCTTCATATAAACGGGAGGCTCAAATCGGGCTCCATTTGAGTCAATCGGTTGATCATTGAGTCATTCTTGACTTTGGCCTGGAGTCAATCGATTGATGCAGACATGTCCCTGGTTGACAGCTTTGTCACATCAGATAATATGTTCTTCTTGACTGCATTAGGAGGGTATAGCTCCTGGGAAACCCTGGTTTGACAGCATCTCCTCATTGAGCCTCATGGTAGCTGAGGTCACTAGGAGCTGAATAATTATTTTTTAATCATGGATTCCATAAACACAAAACATCCAGACATATCGACAACAAATGAAAAGATTTCCAGTCAGCCAGTCTACTTAGTAGTACATGCAACTGGAGAGAAATCTCTGTTTAAAGCTTCTCCTTCCCTGTAACTTTGAAATAAATACAACACCATACCATAACATAACATGATCTCTAACAAATAGTAAGTAAAGTGTTGTAAACTTGCCAACATAACGATCACAAAACACCTAGTTCAGTATAATTTGTGAAACCATGGTCAAGTGTTTTAACACTTAAACTGCACCACCAATTAGATGATGATTTGTAGTTTTATTTCCAATTTTTTAAACGTGATTTAAATACCTGTAATGCTTGCCTTGTTTGGCCATATTCTTTTGTTCTTGAGAAGAGTCTACTGTACAATGACAAATTGTATGTGTTTGTGTATTGAAAAATTTCTTTTTTAAAATCAATTTTTCAAAAAAATATTTTCTCAAAAAATTGATGAAACTTCATGGGTTAATTCTACAGAAATAACCACTGATTTTTTGCCTGGACCTCATTTAATCAGAGAGAATAGCTTATATAAATATATCCAAATTACAACAATAGTTATTTGGATATATTTATATAAGCTGTTGTCTCTGATTAAATGCGGTCCAGGCAAAAAAAAAACGGTGGTTATTTCTGTAGAATTAACCCGTGAAGTTTCATCATCAATTTTTTGAGGAAATATTTTTTTGAAAAATTGATTTTAAAAGGAATATAAAGAAAACTGCACCATATATATATATAACTTATAGCTGAAATTTCTATTTTACGTATTTTTTTTCTGTTAAATTATACAGGATGTCCCACATAAAATAGGCTGCTTAAACATCATCATCAGTCATGCAAATTTTTTGTAACATTTTGAGAATAAAACTTTATATCTAATTATTATTTTTTCGATTATCAGGTTTCTTTAACGATTACATCAGAACATCACCCATCAAACGAACGTCGCGATCCGTCAACAAGAAAGACTTTCCGCCGTCGAAAATGCGGAGATTGGCATCAAAGCAAGACTTAATTCATTCGTTGGTGGAAAAGTATTGCCTGAAAGACACTTTTGTGGTTTTGCAGCCTCTTCCATCTAAAGTGGTGGAGAGTGCTCTGGCCGGAAACGTCAAAGTAGCCAATCCTGTCCTGGTTAATGAAAAAGAAGTTCCGGTGGAAGCAGCCACTCACTCTCTTCCCACTTCTAGCAAAGAGATCGACTCAGAAGAGATGAACGAGGCCAATAAAGAAAACAATGAGAATCATTCGCAACCGGAACAGGAAGTGGCTGTCAGATAAATGGGAGGAAAAAACAACACGTATTATATTTTAGTTTTCATTGGAGGTATTGGCATCTTCACCCTGTACCGACGGTATGTAGGATCTAAATGAAAATTTGGCATCGAAAGGAATTCATTTATGTCAAAAATATTTTAACGAGTTTTATATATTAATGCACAAAACCAAAAATATATATATATATTCATTACACATAAGTACATAAATGTATATTTCTCCAAAATTAATTAAAATCAAATCATCGACTTAAGCATCATTATAATATTCGTTTAGATTCTACATATTTGTATAATTTAGTATATTTTAAATTTTGCATTATGCAAATCTAATCTAAGTAGAGGTTTGTAATTCTTTATTTTTCAGACACCGAACTTTAATAATTGTAAGTGTATCCATTGTTTCTCGTAAGTCAATTTTGTTTCTCTTTTTTTACATATATATTATATATGTGTTATTGCCAGAATAAGGATGCCATTCGAGCATCGAAATAACATCGTTGGCCTGTCCTTTCTCGTACATTAACATGTTAATTTGTTGATTTCACTTAAAATGGTAAATGAAATTTTTGATTATTTCCAAAATGTATTGGTAAATGAAATTAATTTTTGTTATGTCTAACTTTGTTCTACTTTATCTTCATTGTATAAAAACAACTTTTCCTTATTAAAGCCCATCAGTATGTTAAGATTCATAAGTTGTTTGGTCGTGTAAGTTTTACAAATAATAATCCTGAATGTGGGAAGAAAATAAGCTTTAAACTGCTTCAATGTTTCTGTATTTGTCATTCTTAATAAATCCATATTATATTATGTAGTCAAAGTTCTGTTAATGTCATATTGCATATGCAAAGTAGATATTTTCATCTACTTTGCTGGCAATTCTACGTTTTATGCATATAAATATCAATTAAAATGTACACTGTATCCAAAAATTATAGACTTTTATTAAGGCAAGAAAAACTGTGTGTTTGAATTTGTAAATTATGCCAAAAATGTACCCAACATTGGTAATTCTCTGGTAATTGAACGGATTCTTGAGTCTCTCCCATAAGAGCATTAGTCCAACGAGACATTTATAAATTACCTATTTTATTTAGTACAACTTCGTATACAAATTGAATTAAATAAAGCAATTGGAAATTTGTACAAAAGACACTAATTTATAACTTTCTCATCGCCTTAACTGTTTTGACCAGATGTTCAGGCTTTCCCTGCGCAGTCTTGGCGTAATCCCGGGAAGAGGCCTTCAGCAATAGAAGCAGGTTGCCGAGGTTGTCAGAAGGAGAGAGACCCAGATCATCCAGTACGTCACACACATAACCTGCAAGAGAAAGAAGCTTTATATCGGATGAAAAGTGACAAAGGAATCTGTTTTGGAATTACTATAGCATGCCAAATGTAAAAAACAAAGCAAAAGATGCTTTGAGGTTTGTTAAGGAATTTCAAAGCATCTGCCACTCAGTATTAATGATCTCTCTCTAGATGACCGTAAGGCACGTTAATTGTCAACCTGGAGACTCAGTGCTTCAAAAGTGCAAGATGCCACGGTTAAAACAATTATATTGCCTGTATTAATTTCAAAATTTCGATGCCAAATCGTTTATTACTAAGGCTTCTGTTATTTTCTACTTAATGTCACCACCGAGTTCAACAAGGAGGAACTAATTCCAGTTATTTTGACAATGGATTTGCAGCAAATTTAAACAGCTACACCAGACAAAGATCAACATAATTCCTAAGGGACCAGACTTACATATGGGGTATTAACCTTTTGAATATGTGACAGAAACCTATCTACTACAGAAAAATTGCTCGATCCCGTGGGATTCCATTATAAAGGGGTATGGCTGGTTTACTTAAAAGGAAAATTAATTGTAGTCGGGTAACAGATTCTCAGCCGTTTACCATAATTATTAATGGAGAAATTTTGTATTAAAAATCCATAACATTAAGACCTGTTGTATTTTTCACCAGCTCTCAGGTTTAGGGAGCCTTCAAAAATTTATACAAGTCAATTGGAATTTCATAAAACAAAAGTCAAATGTGATCATGTGGTTACCCAAGTAATATGTTTTTTAATAGATTTAATTGATTATTACAATAGCAATCTGTATAGGAATAGGAACTGTAACTTGGCTGGCTTTGTGACAATTTACCATCACTGTGTGGTTGTGAATTGGTTATTTGAAGAAAACATATAAGATATTTATTCGATTAGATTGGCAATTTACAACTGGGGACATGAAGGAAACTTAATACTGGTGGAAATACTATAAGAATATTCAGATTCTGCATCAAGTCCCTTCGCAACATCACCTAACCGGAATTCTATAAATGGATCTTCTGAGTTTTAAATGCATATATACAATTTATTATTAGATTATTAGTTTCTTTTTTATTAACCAACTTCAAAGAGCAACAGTGTGGTAAATAGAACAAAATGGACATTTATAACAAAAAAATAATCGCAGCTAAATTGTTACAAATCCACTGACAAGATGATTATTATTTCGGTCAGTTACCTAGAAGATAACAAATCCCCACTGATAATCAATTTTATACCATGCAAAGTAAACTGTAAATTTTAATAAAATGTATTTGCCCCAAAAATTCTGTAATGTTTTTGCAAACTTCTCCAAATGAGCCATTGCATTAGTTTTGTTTTTATAAATTGTTTTTGTAATGTTTCTTGCCACTGAAATATGTGTCTATAAATAAATGATCAATGGGCACCTGACCTAATCCTTTTAACATGTTAGAAAACAAAATTCCTATTTGTTGACATCCTGGTTTCAGCTGCATTCCACCAGGCTAGGTGTATCACATATCTTAGCTCAAAGTGCTGTTTACCACGTAGTGGATAATTTTGGAATTAAAATTTGTTTTTGTAAAATTCTTTTCTGCATCCTTTCACACCAAAATTTATGTACTGATATATGCTATTCTATTAGCTTATTGGTTGGAGCTACAGTCTCCAAATACATAAAAAAATATAAATATAACTTACCAATATCTGTTATTAACTGGTTGTTGGCGTACGAGGTTAAGTGTGGTATCTTAAGAATGGCTTCGAAGTAAATCTGCAATGTTCCCCTCGCAATGCAACTCAGCAAATAATCAGCCACATGGTCAACGCAATCTGAAAATCCACATTTGATTCGAAGTGTCGAAAATATTAAAAAAAGAGAGAGACAAATGAAGGCACTCCTCACCATTAGGCTTGGTGTAAGGTAACTGTTCGTGTTTCAGAGCTGTGACTAGAGCAGGATTATCTTGCAAGACGAACGGTTCTATGTGCTGCGGTAATGTCATTATGTATTGACCGATCTGGAAAACATTTTAATCATGTGAATGTCAGACCAGCTCGGAAGACCAACCTGATATTTTTACCTGCGTGATGTATTCTTGGGGAGAAAAACTGAAAGCAGGAAGATCTGACATCAGCACTCCTGCAGGATTTTCCGTTGACCATATCTGCAATTTAAATTGTATGTATCAATAATTCTACAATTTTCAGCTAAGAACCAGTCTCCATTTTCAGCTGAAAATTTATTCATCTGTCATTAGTCTAAATACAAATATGTTCTACCTAAAAGTATCTCTTATATTATAATCTCAAATTTTTTCAACCCATCATATTACGTATGCACTGTTTGATAATTCAAAGCTTTTATTTGGCTTTAAGTAGAGCGCCTCTATAGATCTGTTGCCTTGCTATAGCAAGGCAACAGATCTATAGAGCTTGCTATAGCAGTGGCGATGCACATTCGAAATCCTCCACTCTCTGTGCAAGTGCAAGTGCAGTTCCATTCTTTGTCTGGGAAATACTATATTTAAAATATATATATATATATAATTCTAATATTTCAAATCAAAACTATTTTTTCCGTGTATATTAAAAAATGGCATTTTGTCGGTGTGTCGATGAAATTCCAATATATCTGCACCAAACCACCCCAAAGGTTTCTGGAATTCTGCATCTTGGATCTCTTTTCACTTGTCCAAAATTCACAGAACAGTAGATGGACACTTTACAATTGGGATGTGACAATGACGGCCAAACAAATGGCCGTAAATTCTTGACAGCAATTTATACAACTTAGTCATTTCAATTTTGTATTTCATTCTTATTAATTAAAACAATTTATTCTGAGCCAAATACCTGTAGCGACGGGATTTCTTGAATGTGCGTCCAAATTTTGTCGAAGACGACGTCAAACACCAGCTTTCCTATTTCAGCGCACAGACTTCTGAATATCTTGAAGCTGTCGTCCAACACCCTGAAGTCTTCAGCTAATTAAAAATAATAAAATTTACCAATAGCCAGTATCTTAAGACGTACCTTCCGGCTATTTTGTGCAAAGTTGTGACAAAAATAGCAGATTAGTATAAAATATCTAGCAATAATTATGACATGTTATTTAATATTTGCATTTTGGTCAGACCAAATTACATTCAATTTATTTAAACTAAGCCAAATTCATTATAATTCAAATTGCCCTTGTCTGTTTGGCCACATCACAAAACAAAAGTGGAAACGGCCTTCTCATCCTCTACATATTATGCTATTATTTAATTAAAAAATTCATTTTTCTGTCCAACATAGTATATTACCGCATGTGTATATCTGCACTTGTCAGAATAATAACATATATATTATTAAACTGTCTTGTACTGTTAAATAAAAACAATGTAATAAGTGAGATATTCAATGACTTTATATAAGAACTTTGAATTAATCTATGACAATATATTTTAATTTTTGCTTATTCTGATAATCACTTAAAAGTGATTTTTAGACAATTAAGTAAACTTGCAATGTCTTTCCAATTCTGACAATCACGCGAAGCCAAGAATTAGATGACAATTCGTCATCTAATTCTTGTTGATTATAAGTGTCAAAAATATCGGCTGACTGCCAACATATTTTCTAAATTAAAAATCATTGATTTTTTTTTACATTTTAATGCCATTAACAAAATATTCTCTACACGCCAAAATCAAAAATAATTTATTCCTTACTTAGGGTCTTTGAAACTTATTTAACGGTTTAAACTTTATAAAGCTGTCAAATTCACCTAATTTCATAAATAAATACACAATATACAGTGGTGCCTCGTACAACGTACTTAATCCGTTCCAGGTGCACATCCGTTAAGTGAAACGTCCGTTATACGAAACGCATTTTCCCATAGAAATACATGTTAAAACATATAATTCGTTCCGCAGCATAAAATAACCGTACTGTACCATAAAAAATGAAAATGGAGCAGACACCAATTATGCCGGGTAGTCAGATGTTGTGAGGAGGAGGTGGAAGAACACTTTCTTTACACATTCATACAGATACAGACTTTTTACACATTGCAGCGGGTCTTTTTTTATTGTTTTTTAATCGGAGTCAGATTCAGGAGAGGCTACCGGAACTTGCAGGGTCAACTTCTCTTGTTCCATCCTTTGTTTTTTGCCCGCTGGCTTCTTGAAAAACATGACCAAGGTGGTCTGTTTCTCTTTCTTCTTTAACACCTGTCGGAAATGACGGACAAAGGTGTCATCGTAGAGATCATTGATCCTGTTGGCCTCAGCTCTGTTTGGATAATGAGTGTTGGTAAACTCCTGAACCTCTCCCCATTCGACAAGAAAGTTTTTGTCAACTTTCACTCCTGATGATTTCTTGCTTTGTTTCAATTGAAATCACCTTTCTGTTTTTTTAGAAGCCATGATGCATTATAAATGACTTAACTTGCCAGATTATATGATACGAATAATTCTTTATTAATTAAGATCACTAAACACTTCTACGAGCTACTCTCGCTCCGTTTGTTTTTTACAACCTCTTTTCGTCCCGCCACCTCGGCATCTACACAATTACATTTCGTTTATTTGAATCGTCAACATATACTGTATTACATTACATTTAATGCTTATTTAAATCATCAACATATATTTCATTACATTTCTACTTCAGATATACTAATAATATATTCTAATAATACTAATATATCCTTAAAATAGCAGATTGTCATTGGCAACGGCAAAAGAGTGGAAACATCATTCGCACTTGTTCGAAGAAAGTCCATTGTTCATCTCACGTAACTGCCGAACGGAAAGTCCGTTGTTCGCAGCAAGTCCGTTGCTCGAGTCACGTAACAGTCAAACAGAAAGTCCGTTATTCGCAGCGTCCGTTATTCGAGGCGTACGTTATACGAGGCACCACTGTATATATACACACATATTTGCCATTTTATTTTCAAGCAGTGATTTCTCCCATTATTTGCATAGTTTTCCATTTATATTCATAGAAAATAGCATACTATTCAAGAGTATTTTTAAAATTGAGATTGACAAATTGGAAAATGTTCTTTAAGGCAGCCTATATCCAAAGATTAGTTTTTGGATCTGGCAATCTTATAATTTGAAGTTAGAAATGCCATTAGGCTGTATACACATTAGGCGTTTTTAAATGTGCGTTTTAAAGAACCAAGAGTTCTGCATAGGTATACATACTCAAACGCGTGCTTCTGGCCAAGCGTGCGTCAAATGCACGTTGACAGATTTTTGTTAGAACACACGTTTTGTGGGCGTCAGCCGCGCGCTTTGAGATATATATGCTGCCATGTTGTTGTACATTCAGTCGCGTGCTTTCGAGTAGAGTGGATGCTCTTTGGCCGAAATGGAGAATGATCATTTTGATACCGATCTATTTATTGATGAAATCTAAAAGAGACCAGCCATCGTCAAATGATTTTATAGATATTCTAAAAGAATTAAAAAATTTGGGTTCATATTGTTAGTTTTGGATGCAACGTCACAAACATTCCATGCGTCAGTCTATCTCGTAATATTGGGTGCACCCAAAATTCTCTTTGCCTCTACCATTGTCTTTTATAGCGACAATGGAGGAGGCAAAGCAATTACTTTCATGTCCATTTCCAAACTGAGCCAGTGCTCACGCTCCACTAAACGGTCGTTGAACGCTGAGCCAACACGCAGTGTGTACGCTGCTAACGCGCTTTTAATGCAACGCAAAATGCCTAATGTGTACAAGCCCTTAATCATTAATATGCTGCATACTGATAAGCACTGTAGAGAATATTTAGAATTTATTAATTATTACCATTAATTAATTTGTTTCTTTGAATAATTGCATTAACATCTGTGGTGTTAATGCAAGTATTATATTCCCATACAAGTGACAGATTGAAAATTTTAAGGAGCCACGAAAACCAATTCAAAGAACTGCTGAATGCAATTATTTTGATTTTCTATTGTTGATATATAGAGTAAATATTACCTAACATATTCTGATATTTTTATAACATCAGAGATAATTAAAATATTTTAATATTAAATAATAATAATTTGTAACCTAATTGATTTTTAAAAAGGAAAAAAGTTTGGGCATGAGCCATGCTCTGGCAGATTTCCAACCTTAAACACACATTAAAATTATTGTGATGATAATTTTTTGACAATGTTTCACCTAAACGATAAGAAACTGGAATAAACAAAATTTAATTGGATGCTCCATCAAAATGTATCAGTCCACCAGACACAAATTAGAATTAAAGACGTGAATATCAAATAGATGGCTTATACTCATTGAATTTCACAACCATAAAACTTCTTCATTTTTACAGATTATAAAAATAAGATAAATAATTCAAAGCAGATGGAATAACTGTTAGCTGCATGTTTCATCAGAAATAAATAAATCCTTGCAGAGGTAATTTGTATTTCTAAAATATTCTATGTATAGTTTATGATGTACAGAAAAAGTTTCATTTTTGAAAGTAAATTATCATTTGTGTATTTTTAAATATAACTCAAAAACATAAATTAGTTCATGTAAATTCGATATGTAACTGCCATATTGAAAATTTTAATATATATAAACGTAATCAAATGTAAAAATTCTGGATATAAACTATATATCAGTTTTAGAATTACTCACCATCACACAGTTTTAAAAATAATTTTCTCAGTTCTCGTTTTTTAGCCGGCGAGAGGAGAAGTTCATCGTAGGCATGAAAGGGATTTGGAGATCTGTAAATTGTAGAGCATTTTAAAATTAAAACATTATCGACCAATGAAAAATTTCATTTTAATTTTGCTTACTTTTTCTCTGCGAGCGAGGATTGTTCAAGTTTATTTACTCCAACTTCAATGGTATATCCTAATTTTTGGGCCGTTTCTTTTATGTTATTAATTAAATTAGCTTCTAAATTTTCTAATTGTAAAAGTACTTCACCTATTAAATTAATTTTTAAAATATATAATTATTGTAAGGATGCTATTATTATTGTAGTATAATTAAGCTACTTTTTTGTAGAAAAGCAACTGTAATCCTATTTGTAACTAAATTTTTAAAATTTTTATTAAAAGGCAAGTATTTTGTATACAAATTGTGTAATAAAAGTTAATTTATGCTGAATTCTTATTGTCTTTATTCCTTTCTTCCTAAACTACCTTTGAGTGTGGCTAAATCACAGTTTTGCTAGAGCTTTCACAAAGCAGTTGAAGAGATCTCATTGTATTACAGCCAATTTTATTAAACATAGTATGCAATATGGAAATAAAAAACTAACTTGGATGGCCTTCCAAGTTGACAAGGAAGCAGAAATCAGCAATTATATGGGAAATAACAACAACAACAGGAACATGATTAGGTGAAATAGCACACGGGCCTGATATTAATGTTCACAAAATCATACTTTCCCAGATGGTAAAATCAACAAAAAAATCTAGTGTATAAGCATAGAAAAGCACTATTTGGAGAGAAAATTGGTGGTCCATTCTGGCAATTGCAACAAGATAATGTACCAATCCACAAAGCAAATTTCATTTATCAGTGGTTACTGGATAATGGCATTCAGATCCTGGATTGGCTTCCCTATTCCCATGATTTGAACCCCTTAGAAAATATATGGAGTCTAACAGCTAGGATGTGGTATTTTCCTCCTGCATATGTATGCAGGAGGAAAATACCACAGTATTGAAAAACTCAAAGCTGCAATAATTATTGCATAGGGAAAAATCAATTTAAATATGCTGTTAAATCTTGTTAACTCTAGGAAAGATAGGGTTTACAAGGTTATTTTGAAAAATGGTAGTTCCATTGGCTATTTAAAAAAAACACTTAAATCCCAATCCCGAGATAGCTCAGGCAATTTGCAAAGCATTATAAATTTACTAAAGGATCGGTTTTTGTAACTATTAACTTTTCCAAAAATGCATGAACCAGTACATATACATTGTTATCTATGACCTATGCCGATTTTTCAAATTATTTTTGCCACAAAAATTATAACATTTTATTAATTAGCTAATTAATTGTGCTATTGTTTTTTATGGGAGTTATTTTTTTGTCAAATTAATTAAATCGTTCTAAACTTCTATTTGACCGATTTGACATCCGTAAAATTTTTTAAAAGCTATTGGATGTTTTCTATGACATCAGCAGGTTTTTTTTTGTTCTTTGTTCAGTAGAATTTTTTATATATACTTTTTTCAGTCCTCCCATATTTTAATAGCATAAAAATCGGAAATTTTGTGTTATATTTGAATAGATGCAGTAAACTAGATCTGCTTTAAACCAGTCTTTCCCTGAACCATACATGTAAACAACCCAGGAAAGCTACCATCAGCTGTTCTCAAGGTCATTCAGATTGTAAACAATGTAGATTGCATGTGTGAAATTTCGCGCCTTGTAAAATGATATAGCTGCAGGGAGTGTTTTTCCATTAAAAAAAATTTTCCCAATCATTTTTAACCTTATATATTTTTTTTTAAATAACTTTTTAAATTAATTAATAAAAAAATTTAATTAATTACAGGAAATAAAGCACAGATATTTTGGATTACTTGGGAAGGGAAGGGTTAACCCTTAATCATTCCAAATTTTTGTATAGAATGTTTTGACCCGAAGCAGATCCCAATTAGGATCGAAAGCACTTGTCAAAGTATATTAAAAACGTTATTTGCTGGTAATTATAAAGATTTGTTGGTGTTATTTACTATATAACCGGCTGTGAGAAGATTTAGAATCAACAGTTCTTTTATGATCAGAAAATTTGCTCCTTTTAATGAAACTTAGAATATTTCCAGGAATTCTGAGTCACAAAAACAATAAATACATAAAATACATCTATAAAAAATTTAGTAGATTACTTTTCTTATTATCTGATGTAAAGTAGAAGTAGAAAGACATTACTTCCAATATAGTAACATGTCAGAAAAACTTAATTTGAGATTTTTCCTGGTCATATAAGCTGAAATTTAAGTTTATTTCCAATACATTCAAATAAATTTAAATTTAGGCAAGAAGTATTTTTTTTTAACAAAAAAATAACATAAGTAGAAAAATAAAACTTAAGTTCTGTCATTACCCATAGGCATAAACAATAAATTTTACAGATCTGTTTCGACTTAGCAATTTGCACCCAAAGAAACTAATTATTTTAACTGTTCCAATATTAAGCATATTTCAATCATCATCCCGGAAAATGTCAACCATTCNCTTTTTTAATAAAATCAATCTTTTAAAAAACTTCTTAAAAGATTAAAAAACTTCAAAGGTATTTTTCAAGAAAATGTGTCTTTTACACCAGAAAATATGATAATTAAACAAATTTATTATCGAAAATTTATTTCAATTATATCCATAAGTTACCAGTAATCTGTAATATGTGTAACGCATGTTGAAACAGCGTCCAATCATTATCATCAATTTTGGCATGGTCTTGCTTTTTCTTGATGGACTTCAACTCGTTTAATACCATTTTATGTTGTTCTGCATACTGTCTGTACAGCATCTAATTAAATTAACATTAAATATTTTATTGAAGTTATATCAAATTTTCACTGCAATTTGTGTTATTTTTGGATGAGTTTTGGATATATTTTAAGATTTCTTGTAACATATACAAAAATCTAAACTTATATATTCATATTCATAAGCTCAGTATTCATTAATATTTGATAATCTGCCATAATCTGCATAAACATAAATGTAAAAATATTAAAAAAATATAAACATTAATAGACTAGAGGACAAAGGATTAATAGAGGATTATCAAATGTTAATTAGTATTTGAATTTTCATAAACTGAACTTATTTATATTCTTAAAGGCAGCTTAGATTATTTATATTCAGAATAATTGCCACAATTGTTAGCTATTTGAGAAAAAGCTTGAGAAAAATGATATAATGGCTAGGCCAACAACTACTGGAGTTTTTGGCCAATTATGTAAGTCAATATCTACAATGGATTTGTAGATATTGGTTTATAGATATATATATATATAAGGTAAGGGATGATTGAAAACATGTTATTTGGTGATGCATTTATTATGTGTCTGTTGTCAAAGGTGAGTTGATGTAAAGCCAGTGATTTAGCTATGTGATTATTAAGATTGACATTGCACAAAGGATTGTGAGTGGAACATGCAGTATAAATATTGATGGCATTATTGTTACTAAATGCATCCAAATCAGACCGATAAGACATTATTCCACTTTTGGCAGTGGAAGGACATTCATTGCAAAATGATGAAAGAAAGTATATGGGAATGCATGCCTGTTCAAAATCACCATTGTGGAATGGTGTGTGAAGTTCCATGAAGATTATGACAATACATACCTTCATGTTACCAATATCATCAAGTAGAAATTGGATGCCTTTAAATAGGAGACTGGAGCATCCATCATACAGTACAGATCTTGTCATGTGACTTTCATACCTTTGGTCCTCTGAAAGAGACCTTGAAAGGATGACAGTTCCAGTCACACAGACGCATGAACAGAGCTGTATCAAATTTTTTTATGCAGCAATTAACTGACTTCTACCAAACAAGCATCTTGATCTGGTTTGTCAATGGTACAGTTGCCTTAACATTAGTGATAAATGGTTTTAAATGGAATAAACCTACAACATTCCACAATCCTCAAATGGAAACATTTTTGATTATTCCTTATATTACTGTTAAATTGTATTAATTAATCATTCAGATATTATTTACAAATCAACAGCAAATAATTTATAACAGACACAATTCAACTATAAATTGCAGACTAATTGCTTAATAATTCAATAAGAATTAATCAGATGATGAATAAACAATTAATAGAAAATTTTGCTAATTTATAAGAATGTAATTAAGTTATTATTATTAGAGATGTAACCAATACTGATCTAATACATTGGTATATTGGAATTGGTACATTTTACAAACCAATATTTTATTTTAATAATATATAATAATACTGCTGAAGGTATACAGTACATTTTCAGTAGTAAGACAACTAGAAGATGATGCAAGACTGAATGTGACAGCAAGATTTCCAGTTTTGATACCTGATGTCGATACTGGTCAGTATTGATACTTAAGATCGATACCAATACCAGTATTGAAACATCCCTATACACAAGTCATAAACATATTTTCAATGATAATACAAAAATCAACAATTAACAACTTACTTTTAATGCTATTATAAGTCCCGGATATCCACAACCATGTGTTAACTGCTGACATCGATTATCTGCCTAAATAGCTATTTGTTAATTTACTCCATTTTATTCGTGTAATTATATCAGAATACAATTCTGATAATACAATTATATCTTTAAAATTTATATTTACCTCTTGGCATAAATATAATACTTTTGATACTGAATCTCCAAGATTATGAACAGCATCCATTAGTTCTTCTGAAGTCTGAAAAATAGAAGGCAATACAAAATTATATCATCAAAATACAGTAGAACCTCGNTCTCTGTGCAAGTGCAAGTGCAGTTCCATTCTTTGTCTGGGAAATACTATATTTAAAATATATATATATATATAATTCTAATATTTCAAATCAAAACTATTTTTTCCGTGTATATTAAAAAATGGCATTTTGTCGGTGTGTCGATGAAATTCCAATATATCTGCACCAAACCACCCCAAAGGTTTCTGGAATTCTGCATCTTGGATCTCTTTTCACTTGTCCAAAATTCACAGAACAGTAGATGGACACTTTACAATTGGGATGTGACAATGACGGCCAAACAAATGGCCGTAAATTCTTGACAGCAATTTATACAACTTAGTCATTTCAATTTTGTATTTCATTCTTATTAATTAAAACAATTTATTCTGAGCCAAATACCTGTAGCGACGGGATTTCTTGAATGTGCGTCCAAATTTTGTCGAAGACGACGTCAAACACCAGCTTTCCTATTTCAGCGCACAGACTTCTGAATATCTTGAAGCTGTCGTCCAACACCCTGAAGTCTTCAGCTAATTAAAAATAATAAAATTTACCAATAGCCAGTATCTTAAGACGTACCTTCCGGCTATTTTGTGCAAAGTTGTGACAAAAATAGCAGATTAGTATAAAATATCTAGCAATAATTATGACATGTTATTTAATATTTGCATTTTGGTCAGACCAAATTACATTCAATTTATTTAAACTAAGCCAAATTCATTATAATTCAAATTGCCCTTGTCTGTTTGGCCACATCACAAAACAAAAGTGGAAACGGCCTTCTCATCCTCTACATATTATGCTATTATTTAATTAAAAAATTCATTTTTCTGTCCAACATAGTATATTACCGCATGTGTATATCTGCACTTGTCAGAATAATAACATATATATTATTAAACTGTCTTGTACTGTTAAATAAAAACAATGTAATAAGTGAGATATTCAATGACTTTATATAAGAACTTTGAATTAATCTATGACAATATATTTTAATTTTTGCTTATTCTGATAATCACTTAAAAGTGATTTTTAGACAATTAAGTAAACTTGCAATGTCTTTCCAATTCTGACAATCACGCGAAGCCAAGAATTAGATGACAATTCGTCATCTAATTCTTGTTGATTATAAGTGTCAAAAATATCGGCTGACTGCCAACATATTTTCTAAATTAAAAATCATTGATTTTTTTTTACATTTTAATGCCATTAACAAAATATTCTCTACACGCCAAAATCAAAAATAATTTATTCCTTACTTAGGGTCTTTGAAACTTATTTAACGGTTTAAACTTTATAAAGCTGTCAAATTCACCTAATTTCATAAATAAATACACAATATACAGTGGTGCCTCGTACAACGTACTTAATCCGTTCCAGGTGCACATCCGTTAAGTGAAACGTCCGTTATACGAAACGCATTTTCCCATAGAAATACATGTTAAAACATATAATTCGTTCCGCAGCATAAAATAACCGTACTGTACCATAAAAAATGAAAATGGAGCAGACACCAATTATGCCGGGTAGTCAGATGTTGTGAGGAGGAGGTGGAAGAACACTTTCTTTACACATTCATACAGATACAGACTTTTTACACA